ATCCGGCGGATGGTGGACGGGTACTCGCTGTACACCGTCGTGCTCATCCTCTCACCCGTCGTACTCGTCATTTCGACGCTCATCAGCCACACGATCGCCAGCGTGCTGCTCGTGCCCGTCGCGAAAGAGGTTGGTTCGAATTTACCCGGCGACCACCAGAACCTGCTCATCTTCATCACTGGTCTCATTTGCTCGACGGGTATGGGAATGCCGGTATCAGGATTCCCGAATCAGACTGCGTGAGTCTTATGGTGCTTTTTTTTATACTTTGCTGATGACCATGCGACTTTGCATAATGTTTTGTTGATTATATTTCCGGAAAAAAAAATAGTGCCACGCAGGAAGACGAGCTAGGTCAATTGTACCTATCGAATGTCGACTTTTTGAAGAATGGAGTGCCGGCGAGTGTTGCTGCTATGCTGGTAAGTTGGCAAAAAAAAGTTTTGTCGCTGAATGCAGGCTCATGGATGACATTTACAGGTCGTGTCGACGCTGGGTTTCGTGCTCATGAGAGCAATCGGAATGTGATATTTTTCATTCAAGAACCATAGAATCAATCTTATGCAGTTTTTTCTAATTATTGTACGATCACGGACGTGGCGTATTCACGGATAGTCGCATGTTTCATTTAGTCCTATTTGCCATTTCGTTGCATAGTGCCTGCCTTTGAAGTCGCCATCGTCGGTAGAATACACATGAGAACAGGCATATCATCTCTTCGATGCAGATCTTTTTTGTGCGTGTGGTTGTTACTAAGTAGTTTGAAACTAGTGGCCATCGCAGCCCAACGATTGGTGACGCCCGTTAGCCAGCATCGGTAAAACCGCAGATTTGCAGGTGTCCCCGTCGAAATTTACAATATACTGCACCACTCTAGTGCATTAAGGTGGGATCAAACCCCAGGCAGGCTGAAGGTAGATTTCCGACCATTGCGAGCTATGGCAACAATATGCCGTTACTTTGTAGGTCTTTAATGGCCTCCCGTGTAAAAGTAAGGGGCAAGCACCAAGCGCGTGAGCGTCACGTGAGCGTCATGCACGTGATGAGTACCTGTTTGGTGAACAAAGCGCAGCCACCGCACCGGTGCACAATGGTTGTCGATTCACCGACCGGGCGGTACTTCCCAAAGCAATGGTACAAAACTCTCAGGTTGGGTTGTTGATGAGGAGCCCTTGCGTTTCACAGTAACAAATGGTTGGATGGTGTAGCTGTCACCAGTGAGATATGTTCTGAGGCTTTTTCTTTTGTGCTACAACTTCAGTATCGTAGACCGTTCTTTCCGTATGTCGAATATAAAAGACGGATGTTGAATATAAAGCCCGACGCGAAGAGAGCGGAACAAGACCAATCGCATTCGCCACATCGCCGGTTGGCGAACACGAGTGCGAGTCCCCTCACCGCTTGCAATTCTCGCCTTCTCACCAAATTACAAACTCTACGATATACGCCAGAGCAAGCGCGCCAGGAACGCTCACCAAATCAGATGTTGCTGCAAAGCTGGCGACCCTTAGATAGTGATGGGCACCCGATCCCTGATGTACAGCGCTTCAACGTGAGTATTGTCGCTTACTTACAACGCAACGTAGCGTTCGAGATATATCTAATATCGCCGCGACACCATTGCAGGTCGGCGACCACGTGTATGTTAACGTGTACACGATGCTGGATTACGACAACGACCCGGATTCGCCGCACATCTCGGTAGAGTGGGTTCAAGGAGAGGTCGTTTCTGTACGAAGGGTGAGTCTACAACCACGCTGATAAATAAGTATGTCGTTACATACTGATTATCTTTTTTCCCTTCCTCTGCCACAGGACGCGGATGGCATGACGCTCCTGTATAAGGTGAAATGCCGGTGGCGCCGCGGAGAGCTGCAAAAAGAGGTTGAGGAGACCAAGCTGCGGCGCCGATAAGACCTACCGGCGACAGCGGTACGCACACGAACAACATCTACTTGGGAAAACTTGGGACGGAACAGAGGAATTCAAGCAAATTCAGTCTTATATACTGCGCATCACTATACAAGGTCATCTAAAATGGGTCTACAATATACGCACACGATCAAATGTCGAGAAAATCGCTGTCCTCTTCAAGCGTCATGTCAAGGAGTTTGAGAAACGACGCGGCGGGGAAACCGACTACGTTGTTGAAGTCGCCCTCGATCTTGCGTATGAGTTGTCCGCCGAGACCCTGTAACACTGTCAGCACAGTCCTGAAATCCTTGAAGGGAACGAGTCATCAGAAACAAACAACGACGGGAAACGACGAGCGGGAAACGAAGTCGCCAAGTTAAGCATAGGGATTAAAGTCATGAGAAGATCAACAATGCCGGCTACCTGGATCGCAAACCCCCCTGCACGGTCGATCCCCTCACCACTGTCGGCGTACGCCGATATGAGGTGATCTGGGTTGTCTGCAAAGTATACGAGGGTCCGTTCGTCTATGGATCTTCGCACAAAAGTTAATAGACGGTAAAGGAAATCCCTCAAAAGGACGTGCTTTAGCTGGTACCCAGGTGAGACGAGCACCGGATAGACTGTGGTTAAATAACGATTCAACAAAGATCGTCCCTACTACAAAGGGCGCACACACCTATTGTCAATCCCGTGACCACCTCGCAGACACCGCCGTTGAGATCGAGTAGCATTCGTGTATTGTCTTCTTTTGATGTTGGCTTCTCCAAAAGTTCTTGCCTCACTTGAGGGAGCAGTGAGTAGTCTGTCTGCGATGTCGATGGCTGTACGTGTGATAGGACGACCGTGTCCGCTGTTGCGATACCCACACCGCCTTAGCGACCGTTCGCCACAAGATCGGGCGGGATTTCAGCGTACCAGCAATAACAAGATCAGGCGCGTTGTCCGGACTCTCACTCTACGACAAAGGCGAATCTGTCAAACAATTCCCACCCTTGAATTCAAAGATCTCCACTTACCACTAACCGCTCATACACCTCGACAGCCTTGTGCGTCGCGGTTGCGACGGGATACTCATGTATATCCTCGAACTCGGACGGATCCAGATCCTCCTCGAACGTCGACGGCACAATATCGGGTGCGAGGCCCTGCAAACAATTCGTTCTTGGTGTTCGCTGGATGTAGGGTAACTAGGCAGGTCACCAACGAATGTGCGCAGGATCTCCTTTCTCCGTGGGCTGTTCGACGCGAGAACGACGCGCTTCCCCGCCAGTTTGAGAATCGCTGGCGTCTTAAGTGCGTGAGAGAGAACGCTGTCGGGCATCGTAGGGGAAAAAAAAAGAAGAAACAAGGAAATAATGGACTCTGCCAGGTATGGGAGTTGAAGTCGGATATGATCGCCGTCAGACGCCGCCACGGGGACCGTTCGACGACACTCTATCTGACTCAGACATGACGCGCGCATCCTTCAATTTTCCACACATTAAGCCATCCTCCCCGAACTGATCACACATGGACCTGGGGAACTATTCATCAAAACTGGAGCCCTTTCTCCTCATCGGCAAATCGATCAAAGGAGCAGCAGCAGCGAAGCTCATTCATGACGCTACATCAGCCCCCGGCGTGTTTGTGTTCGGGGAGCTGTTGGACCTGCCGAATATTCAAGAGGCACGCATTCAATCAAACTATCTTTATACTATGCTAATATTTATGTGCCGTCTAGCTTGAGAACAGTGAGCAACATGCAAAAGCATTCGCACTTCTCCAGCTCTTCGCGTTCAGGACATACCACGACTATCTACGTAAGCGCATACTTGCTCTCCCAACATCAATTTGCCAGCATATCTCACGCCTTCCATAGAACATAAAGACCTTTATCCTACACTGAACGCAGCACAAGTCACGAAGTTAAAACATCTCTCCATCGTTTCGCTTGCAACAGAGCGACGGGTGCGTAGTAAAATTGTGGCGAGCTTGTGTTTGTGACGCACTCATATTCTTCCCTTGTCAGATCATACCGTACTCCGAATTGCTGTCAGCACTAGACATGCCGAACGTCCGGGAGCTCGAGGATCTCATCATCGATGCTATCTATCTGGACCTGCTACGCGGCAAGCTCGACCAGAACGAGTCGCAGTTGGAAGTCGAGTACATAATGGGCCGTGATCTTGCTCCTGGATCGCTCGAGTCCGTTCTTACTGCACTACAAGACTGGTACGCGACGTCTTGCAGCCCCAATACCTGTGTTTATTTTTCACGATCTTCGTTTGTGTGAGTACAGGGCATCTGTAACAACATCGGTACTGGCGACATTGGACGACAAGATTGCTCAAGTAGCACGGGACGCTGCGGCCACGCGCGCACAACGACAGCAAGAGGAGGAAGCCCTGAAGATGGCAGTGCACGAGATCTCCGAGAAGCAGAAGGTAAGCCGCCGTGTGTTGATCGCGTGTAATTTCGCGGATATTGCAGCTAGGACAGATGCTGACATAAAAGATCCAGGAGACAAAGAACTCAAGCAGCACGATCCGACGCGTGCCGCCGTCATATGACCGAGAGCCGCACGCGGACATGATGGATGTGGACGAACCACCGGAGGCGGTGATGAAGGGCAGAAATCGCAAGTGCGTGGAACCGTTTTCCCTTCTTGCTTTTCTCCCTTCCTCAATCGTAGTCTTCCTTTATTCCTTATCGTACCGCTGGACACCGGGCTGACGTCTCGTTACAGAGCACCGATGGAAAGCATGATCAAGCAAAGAAAGAGGAATCGTATGTAAAGCCTCATACGAGAGATACCATGTACACTTTGCTTTAAACACTTCAAGCTTCACTGTTGAAATTGCATTCATGGGGTCTGGATTTTTCCTGCGCTCGTCCCTGTTGTCGTGCCTTTGTTCCTCGCATGGCGGACGATCGTGCAGGACGTTCTCCCCGGAAGATTAGGAATCTTCGGAGGCCAAACAGATGCTGATCGTGTGCGATAAAATTTTTGAGGCGTGAGATCTTAAAAGAAGGAGCTGGAAAATAGATCCATATGGACAGTGCAATATTAGGCCCTGCAAAAAGATTAACCTATGCGATAGTCGTTCGGATACGGGGAGTCGAACCCCGAGCTTGCGCGTTATATTACTCATTGCAAACTGACATGAGAGGCGCAAATGTTAGCCGTTACACCATATCCGACTTCTTAGTTCCTTTGTGAACATGCCTACATGTCTACATACAAACAGGGTCTTAGTACAACACGGGATCTCCCCCAAAGTCGAAGAAATGCTCCAAAAATCAAGAAAAAATAGCAGAGCACATGGAAATTGGTTTTTCCATGTTCTTAAAATTTTATACCATGAGACAAGCATGTTATTTGTTGCAATAAAGTTCATGCAACCATGCGACGTGAGTCATTCAATAACCACGTGAGCGTGTCAAATGACTTCGATGAACACATTTACTCTCCTAACTTTCATGACGGCTTCGAAAATTTTTCACAAACTCCTTTAGAATATCCTCTGTATCCGTGAATCCGCCTCGTTGTACAGGTAACTTGAACGTGGCTAATGGTTTTAAACCAGGAAAATGCGGTTTCGCGCGGGAATTGCACACGTACCCACATTCCTCAGTAGGTCTCCGTATGGTTATCGTCGGCTGCAATCCGTATAATTTTATTGCAAGAAATCGTCCAATCTGTCGAAAGATTGCAGAAGAAATGTATTGTTCAGTTCAGTCCGACACACATGCATCTTATTTGCAATCACGACGCCAATGAAGGTGGTGTCCAAATGTGGTCGTACGCTTGTCTTTCTCCGACGCGCTTTTACGCGTCATTCACGCGTTTTCTTGTTGTTTGAAGGAAGATAGGCATTGGCTCCATATTCAGCGAGTATCGCATCGAATCGAACTCGAATGACACTATCACAATGGTGGTCCCTTTCGATGCGCTACTAGTTGCTCTCAGGTCCGCGTCCATTAATTCGACAGAGACAGAGCAGGTGATAGTCCGACTCGCGAAGAAGAACAACGCGGCCGTTCTGAGCTTTGAGATCTCGGGGAAGACATTCTTAGGCCGACCTGTGTATGTGACGCACGACGTGCGCATTGTCATCATGAGTCCATCCGACGTGGAGAGTCTGCATGAGCCCATGTGTCCTGAGACCGACGTACGCGTCATTCTTTTCTCGATTCCCCTTTGGTTTCCTTATATGGGCTGCAATGCTCAGATCAATATTATTCTTCCGCCATTGCAGAAGTTGCGCGTCGTAACGGAGCGGATGCGCGCTATGTCGGAAATTCTTGCCTTTCGCGCGGACCATTCTGGTCGACTGCAGCTCTGTATCTGCACCGACCTCGTTCAAGTCGAGACCGAGTGGAAGTGTGTTGTACCGCAGAAACCGAGTAAGCCTTTGTTCTTTCACATTTCTTTATCTTTATTCATCACAGTAAATTATTCGTTCTCTAGTGCAAGATAGTTCACAAGCGGACCCGGAATCGGACGATCGCGAGCCGCCCGACCCTCACAAGCTATTCACTGTACATGTGTCCTGCCTAAGCTTCTTCAGGTTTTTAAATGCTCACGTGCTGTCCTCCACTACTCTTGCATGTGCGTCTGGGGTCCCGGGCCCTGTATAATTTTTTTAATCAATCATCCTCCCCAGGTATATGTCATCGTCACTGCCTGATTCTCTACGTGTATATCGGAGATGCGGCCACGGCGGGAGGTGTTCTCACGTTTTATATCCCTGCTATTCTAGACGACGAAGAAGACATGTAGCACGCCGCATGGTGTCTGAGGGGGGCCGAAAGTTGTCTAGAAAATGCGCGTCGTCGACTGGTCGGCTGACCATGAGGCGGTGAGAGCTATACCACGTTCTGCTATGATACCACTCTTTGTTTCACACCTTTTCCCTTCAATTGATTTCCTTTCCCGTCAGCGTGGGAATTTTCTTCCTCCTTTGCTAAAGCCCAATTCTCGATGTTGTTGTTGCTGCTGCTTTGCTGGACCAATTGACGTCGTCCTCTCAGTCTCAGAAGCCGGTTTTGGGTTGCGTTCATTTGAAGGTCTGTCCGAAGAGACCACTCCTTGTACTGATGAGAAGAAAGTGGAACCCCAACCCGGCTAGCCAGTTCCACCAGGAACTGCTCGCGGGAGTGTCTAGGCACCACTTTTCAATGTCTAGCTACGTTATCGATAGCGGACAGCCCTTGGACCGAGGGATGATTGATACTAACGGCATAATGGAGAACCCATCATTATAGTTCCCTCCCGCGGTGGTCACGTACAACAATTGTTGGTCTTACTCTGGGTCTAGCACTACTACGCCGCGGCCCAGGAACCTGCACGACGTATTTTAGGGAATATACCTTTGTGGTGCCTTTTCCGTTCAGTTTTGGGAAAATATGAGCAGACTAACCACACACCCAGAGTTATGGTTTTTATGCCGCGTCCGACTGGTGCCGCGTTCACATGCCGAGTTGCAGGTATGCCCACTCAAGCTATACAAGGTTCAATTGCTATCGAAGTGACGCTGAGTAACGCCAGATTGCACAGCCCGATAAAGTGACCCTATGACAAGGACAGAGCAGAACCATGCCAGCTAGCCGATCCGATGCCGTACGTAGGTCGCACGCGCTAACAATCCCACCGAGAGAGCACTGACATCGCTAACTCGTTCTTTAGTGTGTGTTCAGCTCAGGCCAACGCACGGGCCAGCAAAAAGACCAGACTTTTACATATTGGAAGCTGCTCTTGCATTCCGGTCGCGATGTATGGCTTATGATTATAATGTATTGGGTAATTTCATTCAAATGCTTGTTGTCTGGCAGTTATGGCTTTTCATTGACATTTGCAAAGGCGTATCGACGTTACCAGCGATGAACCGTCGAAAATGGTCGCTATAGGTATTAATTGGCTTCTAATGAACAGGTGAGTAGCAGACCTATGCGTTGTTGTACCGCATTAATTCAATTTCACTTGCGCGGCTAGAAAACATCTCTTTCTCGAAATTTTCATAGCAGACATAATTACAACGTATTGTCGATGACCATGTCAAGCGATGGCGTGCTTGCAACAAACTTGTGGTCTAGGCCCGTATTCCACGACATATCGTCCGGCGTCTGAACGTGAACTCTCTTCCACATGACTTTCAACAAGTCGTGTGTCCGCATGCATGGTCAGGTGAGTTGTTTACTTGCCGACATGCCACAACATTGCGTCTAACCACACGTGTTTGGTCTCTTGTAAGTATGCCTATCACCACTGGTCGAGAATAGCAATCAGTCTCCCCAAGAAGCCAGACGTCTCGGTGCCGTGTGAATTCAATACAAGTCGCAGAAGCACTCGATCCGAGCGGTCTGATAGACGAGGTATACACGTCAAAGTACCGGAGATAGAAAGTTCTGCAGATTTCGCCTGAGGCGATAGGTTTTTGGGGGGATCATGCATGTGTCTGTCAAACGGCGTCCCGCACCCATGCATGAAGACACACGTCTCAGTAACGAGGCTGCCAGCGACACGCGACGTGTACGGTAGTTATATCGTTGACGGGATGAACTACATACGCGAGGCATGTCTTGGTCACACGTCCGTTTATCCGTATTCTCACATTGAGATATGCCAGAGGGCGGGGTAGCATTGGCCATGGACGACGCAGTTCTGCTCCAAGTCCTCTTGAATATGCTCAGTGGCCGAAAGCTTAAGTGATTAGGGATGGCGTGCCAACATCCCGGACGCATCGATTAAACCGGCGTGTCCACAAACAATCTCTCCATGAAAAGTGAGTCCATCAGCCAAAACAGACAGGAAGGGTCTCGGGAAATGGTACCGGTTATGTCATGCTTGAGCTCGAAAGTGCCTTATACCGCTCGTTCTGGCCCTCGGTTGGCCGCGGTGCGAAGGACAAAAGACGTCGATAATGCCACAAAGCCGATGTCTTCATCAAACATAACTGAATGTTATGATAATCTCTTCGAACTCGTGCTGCCAACCCCTGCTTCGGAAACTTACCGGAAGGGTGAGCTGACGACTGGTCAGTCATGAAAGGCCTTCACATACAGTGAAAATTTGTAAATTAATCGAATGGGATTGGATAATTAATGGAGTAGGTTGTGCGAATAACATAGTAGTAAAGAATGTGTGTCCGACACAGTCCTGTCTGTATTAACTGTGTGTCCATTTGCGAATAAACAAATGTATAGGAGCTACACGAATGTCCAAGTCCGTCAAGTAAGGAATGTGTCCGTCCAATGAAGGGCGCAAGTCCGAGTAGATAGGAATGGAATGGAAAAACGGGAAAGGAATGTAACGATAAGCGATAAGTCCGAATCTAAAGCTGGAAGGAAAGAGAGGTAGGGGCCCGTAACAGAGGCTAGCTGAGAATTTAAACGAGAGAAGATGAAAGACTTGAGAGCATAGACGACACGAGCGATACAACAACGACGACAAAGCATGTGTTCGACGAGCGGAATAGTTACATACCATATAGCAGCGGTGTCAATACAAAAAAAGCGGGAGAAAAACATTCGCCAGTGGAGAAAACGAAGAAGCGAAGTTATGAAGGACGGCGAACGAAAGAAAAATCAAGACGCAACGGCTACGACAACTATCATTTTGATTTGGTCTTCAAGCCTGTGTACGGAGGTTCTTTTCACCCTTGTCTATTTGGCGGGAACAACGGTGGGAGAGTCCGATCGTTAGAATCGGGATCAGCGACAAATAATTTTGGCGCAGGCAGCGAGGTATGAGTCGATGAATACGCCGGCGAACCCGACGCCGCTGGCGGCCGCGAAGACGCGGCAGGCGAGAATATTGCAGATTCCGGCGTGACGGGCGAAAGGCAAGAGGGCGACGTCGAGTCGCGAGAAGATGGCGGTTCCGAAGGATCGGAGCTATGCGAAGCGACGTAATGATCAGGCAGATTGCCGGCATGTCTGCTGTGAAAACAATCAGAAGAAATCTGAAACCAAGAAACCAAGTCCAACGCACGGAGGTAAGGAGAAGGAACGGTGATGCGAGGTCATTAACGACGGTCTGTCGGCAGTCAGCCGGTGAAGAACCGCTCGGGCATCGGTCTCAAGGCCGGTAAGAGTCGTGATGGGAGGAAGCGTTACGCCGCCGGAACCGCCACGCAAACTGGGCAGGGCGAGCTCAGGTGGATACTGGAGGATCGACGGAAGGGAACGGCGCTCCGAGA